AAAAAATATGGTGAGAGGATACAACTCTGATGCATGCATTTCCTGATTTGAAACTATGCAGTAGTCCCTTGTTCTGTACACACAACTACCTCTTGATTCATGTACAAGTTCTGCATGAGCACAATGAAGTGCTCTGGAATTTCTATTCTCCTTAAGGATGTCCACGATTTGTTATGATCCACACAGTTGAATGCCTTGGCATAGTCAATAAAACACAAGTAAATATTTCTCTGGTATTCTCTGCTTTCAGCCAAGATGCATCTGACATCAGCGATGCTCCACATTCTCTTCTGAATCTGGCCTAAACATCTGGAAGCTGCCTGTCAATGTACTACTGCAACTGTTCTTGGGTGATCTTCAGCATAATTTTACTTTCACAAGGTAGCAAAGATATTGTTCCATAATTTGAGTATTCTGTTGGGTCACCTTTCTTTGGAATGGGTACACTTGGCCAAGTGGCTATCTTCTAAATTTCCTGGCATAGGTGAATAAGTGCTCTCAGTGCTTCATCAGCTTATTGGAACCTTTCAATTGGTATTCTATCAATTCCTAAAGCCATGTTTTTGGCTAATACTTTCAGTAGAGTTTGAATTTCTTCTTTCAGCATCATTGGTTCTTGCTTCTATGCTACCTACTGAAATGGTGGAAATTTTACTACTTTTTTGTTGCAGGGACTCTTTATTCTTCCCACCTTCCTTTTTTCCCTTCTTCTTTTGGCACCTAATCTACATATCATTCAATCATTCAATAGTTCAATTCACAATTCAATAGTTCAATAGTTCTGTCATATCAAGAAGAATTGCACATTAATTACCGCAATCAATTTTAGACTATTTCCCCCCCTATGGCTAAATTGCCATTAAAATGAGTTGTGTAATCACAATCAGTTCTAGTGCTCCCCCACTCCTGCCTTCATTATTTACTCCCCAAATTCCCTCCTCCTCCCTATCTCCCACCACACCCCTACATCCCTTATAAGCTCTTGCATCAGTTATTATCTCTATGCATCCACTCATTCTGTGCTTCACAAACTGGGAAACCTGATAGAAACAACAAAAACCAAAATAGAAATAAAATGGTAAGGATAAAATAATAATAATAGTAACATAAAGGTAAAAATACAAAAAATGAGTAAGAGAGAAAAGACCACCATTAATATTTTAAAAGCCAGGGAGAAAAGTTTTGTCATGGAACATGCAAGAGATACTTGCACTTAGAACAAATTCAGATTGGGTCAATAGGGAGGTCAACTGACCAAGTATCAAGTTCAATCCAACATGTTCAAGATTATAATGATCTTTGTCTGATAGTAAGACTGTTTGAGACCCTTGCTTGAGGCATAATTTTACTAGTTACTCTGTGGATGGGTTTTGGGTTCCCACTGTCCTCCATAGCCAATTGGATGTTCATGATTTTAGCTCTGATACATTTCCCTTCATCATATTTGAATTTTGTTATTGTCATCTTTGTATCACACAAGCTGGTGTGATTTTTCCATGTGGACTTAGTTGACTCCTCTCTTCGATGGCTGCTTGTTTGAATAGAAGCCTTTAAGTCCCCAGGTACTGTTTCGATTGGTAGCTGGGCACCATCTGCTTTCTTCTCCATACTTTGCTGTAGCACCCTTATCTTCACTGATCATTTCATGAAGGTGAGTGTTGAGCAGGGCCATGTGATCAGAACTAACTGCTCTTGGATTGGGGCTTGAGTTAAGTAGGAGGAGCCCAGAATTCATCTGCATGTCCATTGGATATGCACAACTCAGGTTTACTTTGGGGGCCATAATATGACAAGATCAAAATCCCATAAGAGAAACTACACCAATAAGGCAAATGCCTGATAACATTGTCAATTTCCCCAAAGACACAGCATACCGGACATTGTGAGTATGAGGAATCTGTGAGTACATTTCCACCTTGAGTCACAACCCATGCGTTGTTGTCCTATACAGTTCAATTTCCCATTTGATTGTACTCTGTTTATTCTAAGTATGGGGATTTGTGCCGGGATGGGGGAGGGAACCTTCTCAGATCAATTCTTCCAAGTGCCGATCCTTGCCCCGCAGATCAATACCTGTCGTGTCACTGCTAGGTGGTTATCGAGATACTAAATATATGGTCATTCTGGGTCCCTTTCCAGTGGATACCTACCAAGCCTGGGTTTTTCCCACTTCTACAGTCCTGGGTTGGCTACTCTCTGCTTCTTTTTCCAACCAAGTATCTCCGTCCTCTGTCCAAGGGTGCAGGCAACTTCGAGGCAGGGCTCAGTTCATTCAGCCGGGCCTCTATTTACGTACTTCTGGTGTAGCCCCTGTGTTATGCCATGCTTCCTGTTAGGTCAACTTTCATGATCATCATGGTGTTTAGTCCATGGGTTGGTTTACTGAAGGTTGGGTGGAAACGTATTCTTAGTGTCTACCCAGCAACATAAAATCTGGCCCATTTCCCCCCTAGGTTTCCTACAATCATTGTTTAGCATTCCTTCCCAATGTGAGGTTACTTCTCCCCAATCACCCACCATACTCTCCAACAGAATTTTATCAGTGTCTCCTAAAAAATGTAGATGGTCCCTTCCTCTGGTCTTAGCTTGATTTTTCAGCAAGATTCTCCTTCCATTCTTGTGGGGTCCCATTGATTTGCCCCAGCCTTGTCTTGATGCTGTATAACCTCAAGTGGATGATCATTTTACATTTCCCCCCTCTTGAAGGAGTGACACCAGGCAATGCGAGGTCTCTTCCTTAAAGTTGGCTCTTGTGAAGTGTATAAAAGGGAGGTGATGTATGGTTCATGACCAGTAGGCAGTTTTCTCTCCTTTTGTTCAGGAATTGGTTCCTAAGATTTGTGTAATTGGTGTTTCTTCTTATAGTAATGGACTCATACAATATTTGTTCTTTGTGATTGACGTACTTCACTCAGCATGATGGTTTCCAGGACCTTCCATGTCATGCGGTGTTTCATGCTTTCATCATTGTTTTATAGGGATGCACAGTATTCCATTGTATGTATGTGCCATAATTTCTTTATCCATTCTTCCACTGTTGGGCATTTGGGCTGCTTCCAATTTCTTGCTATTGTGAAGTGTGCTGCTATGAACATGGGAGAGCATACCCCACTTGCGTTGTCTCTCTTATTTCTTTAGGGTATATGCCTAAAAGTGGTATTGCTCAATCATATGGGATTTCAGTTCCCAGTTGCTTTAAGTATCGTCATATTGTTTTCCACAGTCGCTTTATATGTTTACAAGTCCACCAACAGGGTATATGAGTTCCAATCTCTCCACATTCTCTCCATCTTCTTTTTATGATTCCTGCACCATTTAATATTTTGCCCATAAAAGCCTTCAACCTTGCAACTCAAGCTTTGAATTTTTCATCAGTTCTTTCAGTTTAAGATATGCTTAGCCTGTTCTTCCTTTTTGGTTTTCTAAAAGTCCTTCACAGTGCTGTGTTATGAGCTTTTAAATTTCAGGTGGTTTTGTTGTCATCACTTATTTAATTTCTTTCTCAATAATTGTAGATGCAGTTAGGTAAAAATTTAGCAACCTATTATTGGAGTTCCTTATGATCCTCTTAAATTTGTTCTACTTTTTAATGTTTTCTGCTTTCTTTTTGATTGATGTTTCATCTGTTCGACTTTTTGTTGTTGTTGTTCTTAGCAAACTGATTTACTGTAAATCCCCAAGTTAAAAATATCAGACTTAAGGGCAATGTGTTAGTCTGGGTACTTTAGAAAGACAAATCCACAGAAATTCATATGTATAAGAGAGAGTTTTATATTAAGGGCAAGTGCACATCAAGAAAGCACCCCAACCCAGTGCTGCCCAAGCCCACAAGTCCCACATTAACAAGTACCACTTTAATGTGTCCATAAGTCCAACACCAATCCACAAAGTCCTCCTCCATCTCACAAAACAGATGCAATGATGTTGACTGCAGGAGGAAAGCCGAGTCAGTGAATGTGTAAGCATCTCAACACTGGCAGGGGTCTCCACACGGCTGCTCCAGCACCCAGGGCTGCATTAGAGCAGGTCCATGTGCCTTCTCCTCAGGGATGGCTTGCCAGAAATGAGCCTTGCCAGCTAAAGCAGGGAATTGGCTAAGGCAGCTGCACCCTGGTCCGACCATCAGAAACAAGAGACCCGAGAACTAGAAAGGCGAGGCTCACTGAGCCATTTATCCCTCCGCCCTTCAATAACCCCTCATGTGTTTATTGGCCAGGTTGGCACAATAAACTAACTACCTTAGGCAACTTGTATTTGCTCTTCAATGTTATATAAATTTACCCTTACTTTGGAATGATTGAATCAACCCCTACTTGCAACAAATTCCTCTTCACAATTAGCCTTCACATGCTGCACATACAATTTTTCACCAAAAAACATTTGTTGCACCAAACCAAACCAAACCACTTTCACCACACTAAAAAAACAAAACACAAACCCTCCCTCAGCGCCATTGAGTCAATTGTGACTCATGGCGACCCTATATGGCAGGCTAGAACTG